TATATGTTGCCGCCAGAAAGGGATAGCTGTTCTTGTAATGCGTGTTCTTCACCCGGCAGCAACTCAAATGCACACATATGAAGCCGAGGAAATCTTGAAAATCGACTAAATGAAATGCAATCGAATGAAGGACAAAATACACTACAACCTACTGGGCAACTGAATGGACAAAATTGCTCCTCAATATAAGTCAGAAGCTTAGGAGGACGAGTGGCAATTCATTTGTAGTCATGTCTGAGTTGGCTTTGGTAGGGAAACATTTGAAACATTGTTCTTTTTGGACCAAAGAGACCCCTCTACCAACCACCTCTGACTTTATAGTACTCAGAAAGTATCTTTCTCAATCACTTAACCTGGAGTCCCATTTGTGAATTCTTCAATGTAAACAGGTATCCATCAAGATATTTAGCGAGTGCTGTGGAACGCAGGTCCTTGCCAAATTCAGCAGCGTGAGTAACGTCAACGCTAAATTCTTCCGGATCCATATAATCGCTTTTCTACTTTTGTGTCGTACAGAACACGATTCCGAATCCCATTCCACCCTAGGTGTTCAGGTCCAGTCTCCCAAACTCTCACTCACTAATCAACCGCCTGATTTTGTAAGCCAACAGCCGTGTCCTTACACTGCTCTATATCTTCAAAATGCCTAACGAATCGACGGTCGTATTTCAGCAGAATATCACTGAGCCATGCAATCGACTCGGATTCTTCCGGTGTACCCCCCATACTTGTCTGTTTGATAAGCTCAGGGATGCAAAACGAGCCAAATGGGCGGAAGGTGGTTATCGTATCGTGGCTTACTTGACAGCGCATGGCTGAAAACCAATAGAAATTCCCGTCTTGCCTACTACCGACTGTCTGAAGGGCATACGTAGCTTCGGGCCACTTTTATTGCCATGTGGCACATGGAGCTTATCCGCTAACCTGACTTTTCTTAACACAAGCCTGACGGTTTTGTGAGAGGGTGCGGCTAGTTGACAAGGGTGTTATGTTGGTCCATACTGTTCACGATCTCCAAAGCCGTATCAACTATGAAATGACGCCCACTCCCAATTCACATCAGGCACCGGTACAACTTCACACTCAAACTCCAGAACCAGAGTGACCAACTCATATCCCGAATCGCGTTGAATAGCTGAAGTGTTGCCTAAGTGTAGTGTCTATTGGCCGAAGTCCAATGCCTACTGAACGGAGTGTCGAACGGCGTAGTGAAAAATTGTCGGTACAAAACGCTATCGGAGTCAACCCACACTGTGTGCTAAGTTCTGCACATTTCATGGTTTACATTATTCCCAACGAGTAATACATTCTTTTTATTAAAATATGCAAAACGTTTGCTCAAACTCCACTGCTAACTCTCTTCAGTCCATTCCCGATGACGACCAAGCTCTTTCTGTTGTCTACGGGAATTGCAATTGTGTCTATATATTAACTTTATGGCTTCAAATCCACACTTTTCAAACAAACGGGGAAGCAACGCTAGCATATCGAAAAGCAGGTTGTAAGGAGCGAACCACGGTCATGTTGAATGCTATTTTCACACAGGAATGGAAATGAGTGATAGTGATGATAAATTCATCTGACAAAGCAACCAAGCAACGTTCCCCTTTGACAAAAAGTGGAATTACAAACAGTAAAAAAACATGGATTGTGAATCTGGCTAGCGTGAATCACCTTCTGTCTTTCTGCATTCTCGTAGTAGTAAATCCAGTGGGTTGGTGCGTCGAGATCGCATTTTTATCAACGCTGAATACCATATCACTCCATCTTTATTATTTTATAAGGTATAATCTCGTGACTTCTAAACTCTGTGCCCCATGTCCGATCAAATCAACCGAGGCGGTTCTTCAGTTGCGTGTGTTTTAGACGGAGAGGATTCTGGAGCATCTGCTGGAAACACTTGATTCATTGGTGCAACTTATGGACCTTTTAGGTCTAACTAACTGATTCCGTACGACCTTCAGCAACAGCTGGTTCGCTTTACTGTATCAGATTTACGACAAAGTTTTCAGTTCCTTGAGACGCTACCGAGGATGATTGACCAGGAGACTACTCGATAAAATTTTTCTATTAGGGAACAGAAATAATTTCTCGATTGAAAGACGATAAGGAGGATTCACATGCTATCCTTTATCGAACCCAACTGATTAACTGTGATCATATCGAAGCATCATCATCATCATCGACAGCATGACATCAGTGTTCAACACCGATGATTCACTGCCGTAACACCGATGCTTCATATCGAAGACAAAACTTCATTAGTGTGTGCAATCCAGAAAACAGAGAACGTGAGTAAACAACCCGCAGGTTGATCAGCCACCAACTGGATCAACGAAATGGCCATAATCACGTTTCGGACTTCGCCAAATACACTCATTTGCATACCAACTTGGTTTTCACAAGAGACACCCGAAGCCTAACTGAATTCCCATTTACGATATTTTTCATCTGAATGTGCTGCAACAGGGCCGCCTGGTGTTTCACCGGTTACGATATTCAAGACGTCGCAGTATATTTTCACGAAGGAAACTGTTCACAATGTGGAATAGCTTTAAGCGTGTCGGACTGTTTCAACAACCAATGATGCTGGTTACGCTGATCGACTGACCCACCCGTCAGGCATTCGAAGTCAGGAGGCAAAATGGATGGTTGAAGTCCAATGGGTCTTCTTGATCAATTGTAGACGGTTGCAGAATGTGTAGAATTCGCATGCACACCATTACTGTTTGGGAAATCCCACTCCCTTCCTGACAGAAAATTGTAAAAAATTCCACAAATCCAGAAGCTAACTACAACTAAGTCGAATACTCTATGGTGAATGACAGCAGAGAAAATCCGGAGGAAACAAATACACGGAATAGCGTTTGGTACAGTACATACGCAGTGTAAATAGTGCGCACTGTTGGCCAGTATGACAATAAATTCGCTGACAATCTAGCTTCGGCCCGCACCTCTTCAATATACGTAACCCAGTGCCAAACAACAAGGGTGGTCCGTATTCACAGTAAATTCTCTACGACGACCCCCTGGCAGTATTACGGGAAGAAAACCAAGCGGCAGTACACACTAAACACCTGTTGAGTTTTGAGTCAGTTTCCACAATACGTTTATTCAGTTCATGGATATGGATACCATTAAAGCACATAAAAAGAGCTTTGCAGACCAGTAACTTTTACACACTCGTGACCATAATTAAATGAAAAATTGGCCAGTTTCGGGTAAAAGCTACGAGATTGCAACAAAAAAAAGTCTTGACAGGACATCATTCAAAACTCGAGTCTTCTAATCACAACTGAATATAAGAAAATAAAACGACGGTATTTACTAGATAGGATGAATGCATCTAGCTGCATGAGAGAATTCACTCACGTGACTTTCCAACCACGCTTCAGTAATGTTCATAAATTCGTCATAGGTCAAGCGCTCAAAGAGCCCAGCGTATTTGTGCAGACGCAAGCTCTTCAACCAAGCCGGTATGGCTGAGTTTATAACAAGTCGGAGAGGGAATAAGTACAAATGAATTGTGGATATGAAACACATGAATTCGACCACCATAAAAGGATTGGCAATGCGAACGCAAGTACGTTCATTCCATCGCCCTGACAACGTTACGCCTTATCATTCCAGCAGTATTAACAGATGACTTGAGTGGTATTATGACGATGAAGTGTGGTGTCAAACCAATGGAAAAATTTAACGTGAAACGAATGATTGGCTAAGTATCTTTTCAAACGGAGACACTTCCTATGATTACGAAAACCCCTTCTCAGACAACGCCTGTTCACGACTACTCGCATTTTCTAGATCAATATAGGACACTACGTTCTCCATTGTGTACTGGTTAGGTATACTGGATTCAAAAGAGCACAAGAAACGTCCACCGGTCCTTCACCATGAGTAGCTCATTATTTTGTGTCATATTTTTTCTCTTCCTCTTCTACCAGAACAGCAAAGTCATCGTTGCGAATCCTTTTGTTCGGTTTTAGGCCTCTAAAACCACTGTCATTTCATCTTTGTAATGTACTACTCAGAAGATTGCTGAAAATCCGTCGACAGCCCACGCACTGTCATTTCACCCCATTCGTGTGGCAAGTATATACTATCGTGTTTGATAAAGTAACACAACGTTGAGAGAGATTTATGGAATTTAGTCCGACGAGTCTGCAAAACAACAGTCTTTGATTTTCAATCAGAGCGGTCAGTGGAAACTACGGCATGCCTAAGCAGGTTTGGGAAACTGGAATGGGAGAGATGAACCAGGAACATTGCTGAGACGTAGCCATAATTGCAGCAAAAACGCAATCACTGTACATGGTAAGTGGTGGAAGGATGGCAAACATCGAGAGAATGACCTTATGATGGAAGGTACGAAGAAAAAGGGACTTTCTTTGAAGGTTCACAAGTGACTAAAAGCGGCTATGATGTTATTGCTAGCGCCTGTATCCAGGGCAGGAGACCGATGCGCATCAGATTCTGACATTTACGAACCACCTGGTCAAATATAGTCTGATAAGGACAAATCTCCTTGGGCTAATGAGAGTCAAATAAGTAGCTTGGAAAAAGACTGAAGTCATATCTACGACGAAGGAAACCAAAGTTAAATTTTTGTTGTCCAAGCAAGTTACCATAAAGAAAAGTATGCAGACTGGAATCGCATCGCTAAGGCTGACGAATGGCACCGGGGATTGGGGAGGAGTGACGAAAAAGCAGAACCTACTCATTGGGATCAACAAAAGGGACGAAAATCGGATGAAAAAAGTAATTCACACGATCATGAAGAGCAAAAAGATTATTAGACTTGACATACTATGATACAGCTACAGTGGAAGGCAAGTTACGAAGTGAACATCGCAACATGAAGACGCCTATCGGTGGAGTTACATATCCTTTGGAATCAACAACAAACATCGACGAACTTAGTCCCGAAAGTTTACACACACCGTCAGCTAGCAACCGGGGTACCAGATGACTGCAGTTGCTTAACCTGCGAGGTAAACAAAATATGGATAGAGCAACGAATTGGAAGCTCCCAGCTGAGTCGTTAGCGCACTGGACGGAGGATCAAACACTAGCTGTGAAAAAGCAATTACAGTGATCCTATCCAAAAGCAAGTCCCATCGGGGTCGGAAAGAGCCGTACTAGTGCATGTTAAAACCACTTCAACAAACAGGTTTTATCCTCAAACGTTTAATGACACTTTCTGAAGGAATGGTCTATGACCACTACCAGTTATTCGTTCCTGTCCTAGGGCCAGATGGCTTTGAAAACAAATGTCATACTGAACTGGCTCATCAAAATGACGGGGAAAATAGAAACAAATTTACTAGTACAACTGTCCCATCAGATATCATATGATCTTCACTAGTCCCTTCTGAGAGACACCTAACCGTTGACTAAAACTCAAAGTAAAAAGCGAATATGCTCTCCTCGGGTGGTTGGTACTTCGTGAGGATGATCTGGCTAGAAATGGACGGTGGTAATTTGAATCAATGATCACATTGCGTAGAAAGTAATTAGTTTGGCCAACTGCTTTTCATCACAAAGTAAGCAATACGTGTACAGGGCTGTATACCCTCATCACATCTATTGATGCAACGCACAAGCTTTTTGCGGATTCTGACACTGCTGGCCATACAACCAATACCCTTTCTTTGCTTCTTGCCTCGATAAGCTTAAGATTTTAGGTGGTTGTAGCTTAAGTCGCCTCCACTCTTGTTCTTCATAAGTTTGCTTTGATAAAATAACTACCCCAGAATTTGCATGTGGACAACGTTCCTGTAACAATGAACGTGTCACGTTATGGTTGTGGATATTCGATGTAAAGGAGAATGGAGACAGAAACGACCAGCGCATGATATGCAGTGAATCCTTCTGCATCAGTGCTGATTACCTCAGTTGGTTACTTTTGGCGCAGTACTAATAAATAATCGTTCAGTCGTAACACCCTTTCGGTGCCTAGCATGCCCCCTCGACCCTTTCGGTGCCTAGCTGTCATGCCCCCTCGAAGGATGCACGAGGACTGAGATACTGCCACGAAACCTAGACAGGACCAATCCAGATCCCGACATTGGGTTCGAACCATGGACCTTCCGATCATTTAGTTCACGCTCCAACCACTGAGCTGCCTCAAGCGGAGTAGACCTATCTTGTGAGTGATACCTACCATTTAGAAGTTACTTTCGAAGGGCCCTGCTTGTCACAGTTTCCACTGGCAGGTAAATAAGTTACATAAAATAGTTGAAGTTACAGGTTGGCACAATTTCGGATTTTCTAAAGCGTCGCTCTTGATTGGCACCCTAGAAAACAACTGGAGTTACGTTAGTTGGTTTGAATTTCTTTGAAATGACCATAAAGACCGGTCGTGCATGTGCCGCATTTTTATATTCCAAGAACTTCATCGAAATGGGTAGAAATCAGTGACCTTGAAAATGATAACAATGCAAGTCCTCCAAACAAGTGATACTCACCACCCATTCCGGGGTTAGGATCCGTATAGGTATTCATTGGCCAACCTCCCATCGTCTGCTCCGTGTTCAGCCGAGGTTCGACCGGATAACCAAATACAGCAGCCCAGCAACTGCGGCTGGATGTCCGTGGAATTGCAGAACTGCAAACACCGGGCAACACGGTGGGAGGATGAAGAGACTGGGACTGTGGACTGAAATCTGGTTCAGATCCGTGGAGTGCACATCCCAAAGTATAGAAGGCAGGTGAAGGGCACATCTCAGAAGTTTTGACAGATGACGGAACTGACAAGCGAACTTCATTTTTAATCAGAACGGCCATGCCCGATGGCGATGGAGGCAATGAGACGGTCTCTTCAGGTTTCGAGCCGTCTGGATTGCCAGAAGGAGCGGTGGGCGATACACTAGATCCGTGGCGATAAGCGGTCTGAAGCAGAATGATACATGAAATGTGGCAAAGCCTGTGACGCAACTCGAAAAAGTGTAGTGATGCCTGGCTCTACTTGGGGCTTAGCAGGTGAGGGGAGTCAGCTACGCAAATCCTTGACTGCCAGTTAACTCCCTGCTCAAGCTGGTTGGCGCAGTTATTAACGATAAGTAATTGCGAAGCAAGCTATCATCGCATGACAGGATAAGGAATTTATTTCTCTGGCGGTAGATTCCTGTTTCTAAATTCGAAGCTGTAAGTGAAATTGTCGCTTGAAAAGGGACTGTTGCTCAAATTAAAGCTACCTGGATGGTGTCCTACATGGGTGAATAATCAGGCGACCATTTATCAAACGCGGATACGTCACCCTAACCTGACTTCCAGGAGTCTTCGGAAACACTTCAAAAGAATGCTGACCGTACCCGAAAGGATTTAAAACCAAAATACTCAATGAAAGGGATTTATCCAGATAACAAGGAGAAGGATACCGGTAATTCGGTAACTAAGCGCTAAGCGTAACGTAACACTCAGAAGTTCATGATGCCTGGGGACAGTGTATGAAGTGACCAAAGACCAAATAAAAGGAAGAGCTAAGTGCCCGCTAAAATGATGGAAACTGTAGCAGACTTACACCATACTCAAAGCTGTACGACAGTGTTGAACTTGCGCTACTAAGTGAGACTGAATCCGCAGTCTGCTCCATAGATCTTCCAACCGAAGCATGCGGGGGAAAGTTTGCAAGCGACGGAAATGCAGTAACCGGAGATTCTTTTTCAGCGATGCACGTGTGACCTGTGAGTCTAGAGCTACAAACCATTGAGTTACCGACCCGAGACATCGGGGTGTGACCAGACTCCATGCTGGGGGTAAGTGCGGTTGAAAGCGTATCAAGTACGCAAGAACCATCAGATAGGCGACGCTGACCGGACCCTGGATTCCAGGCCACCTGAGCGGAATGATAACTTGGACTGGAGACCATGTGATTTGGTCCGTTACGACAGTCTGCCGTTGGAACTGTTAACAAAGTACCATAATGTGGACCTGTAGTAGAATTCCCGTTGAAATTTGTGGCTTCCGAAAGCAAATCGTACTGACTGCCTGATCCACCGCCACCAGAGAGGAATCCCGAAGAAGTGAGAGAGTGCGAGAGCGAGGACACTAGAACAGGATGACAGGAGGTTGAAGTACCTGATAAACTGGTTTCATTCAACTTCAACTCAACAAAATTAATCTCTATACGTCAATCGCCCCAAAAATGTTGCTCTTGGTACTCGTGATGTGGTCGGCTAGGGTAATCGGGTTAGGTACGCTCATAAAACAGGGTTGGAAGCATGAGACGACGAAAAACAGGAAATCCAACGCAAACTAGCAAGCAACGTGCCTTCACGGCAACTATTACGAAGTTTATATGGCGTACAAATCCAGTTACAAGGAAGTTGGACGATGAAATGAAAACCATATCTAAATATGAACCACACTTTGAACGATCTGAAGCCTTCTAGAGTTGCACGTCATCAAATAGCGTTACTAGCTGCATTCCTTGATCCCATCAGAAGTTCCGAAAGTGCTATACATTCCCTTTACGGGACCTGTACGTGTTAAAGGCAACCACAGATCAGAGATCACCGGCTAATTAGAGTAATCAGACGCGCAGAGGCTACGGTGGCCCTCTCCTGACTTGTGAGACACTTTGGTGGATAAAGAGTATAACACGGATATGCATATATAAGAATTATTCACTCTTGTCAACTGTCACAAGTCATGCAACTCCAGAAGGCTTACATCTGCAAGAAAGTCATTCTCTTGGAAAGTGTACCACAGCTCTCCCTATTAACTACCAGCCAACTGTGCCGTCCCACAAAAGAAGTCAGTAAGCAGGTACGCCAGATACCTCCATTTCACCGTAGTGGCCACGATTAAGAAAGGCTCCTGCATAGTGTTTCGTGCACTGCACCAAACTGGTGGTACATATATATATATATATATATA